CGGGCACTTGTTAATTGTGTTTTATGTTAAAGTCGTGTTTGTGTTTGGGCTGGAGATTGGAGTTTTTGTTTTCAAAGATTTGAGTTCATATGTGTAGGTGTCTTTGTTCCTTTTTAGTGTTATCAGTGTCAGTTGGATGGGTTGGGGAAAGATGTTTGGTTGTCAAGAGGCATGGCCCATAGTATGGAAGCTGAGAGTTGTCAAGATATTTGATCTATGTGGTGTTTGTCCTAAACTAGGAAGCATTGATTGAGGGATAACGTGTTTTATATCTGGATAATGTGTTGGGTCTCATAAAATATGTGCTGTTTATTTGGTTATTTTTGTCTATCTTATATGGTTGACATGTCTGTTTTTTGTTGGTTCCATTTGAAGGTTTCAGAGACTCGTTTTCCGACACAAGCTATATCAGTTGAGGGAAGAGAGGGATATGAAGCCTGAAACTTTTGCCAGCCTTGTATCTGCCCTTCTGTATGAGAAGAGGTGCGTAGCAATGTTAAAATTTAGCATTGTGGTTGAAATTGCTATTATAAACCTTTATGTGGTTAAATTAGCCAATGGATGCATAGGGCCAGTTTAAATTTCATAGTGACGGTTAACCATTTTGCTTAATGCTTGTTCCTATGACCTTTTAGTTTTGTGGGGATGTATATAGATTGCTTCCTGTCATTTAGAGTAGAATTAATGTGTTATTCTCGAATGGTAAACTAGGAGCTTTTGGTTAGCCGGGGAATAATTTTATAAGTTTTATATTTCATGTTTCTGGTTTAGGTTTGGTCCATACTTCTGTCAACCTGTAATTGCCGGATTGAGTGAAGAAGGCAAACCTTTCATCTGCACCATGGACTCTATTGGGGCTAAGTAAGTGTGATCCCTCGTGTTTCTCTGAATGTTGTACATTTGACAAGTTATGATTTTTCTTAAACTACGAGGGCCAAAAATGTTGTTGTGGATTAAAAGGATGTCATAGATCTTTTGTGTCATCAACGACTTTGGGGTCGGCAGAAGTCTGACGCTGTGCATTTATTTTCTCAATGTGCTTGCTAGCAGGAGTGTTGTATGCAAAGGCTGAAGCTTTCTCGGTTAGTTATATCGGAAGTGAAAATAGGAACTCCCCAGTGTTATATGACATAGATGAATGATGGCTTAATGTTGTTTATGTTGTTTCTCTCATATGGAGTAGTTAGGGGATGCTTGGATATAAGAATTTTTTATTTTGTTTGGTTAATTTTGAAAAAAGTGGAATGGTTAGTTGTTAAGGTGATTTTGAGTTTATATTAAAATAAAATAACTAAAGTTGATTTGATGTAAAAGTGGGGAGAGAGATGATGCGAAGCGATGGTTAGTTAAAATTATGTGAATGGATGAATAGTAAATTAAAGTTGATATTATGTGTAAGAGTGATTGAATGATATTATATAATTATATTGATGATATTGAGGATAGTGGTGTTGAGTTAGATTTGAGTTAAAAAAAAAGTGATTGGTTTAAAATTATTGGATTTTTTTTTTGGAAAATCCATATCCAAGCATGCTCTTAAGTTTCGATAATTGATTACGTTACAAAATCCATGAAATCTGCAGCAGTTTGAAATTCCATGTTGACGATCATTACATGGTCATACTCTTTGAGTTTCTTCTATTTTAAGAACTCATAGTGATATCTAATGTACTCCATCTTCATTTGTATTATGGTAACCTTCACATTTCCGTATAAGCATAGTGCTTGTGTTTTTATAATTATCTTTTCATATTGCCCATTTTATGTTTTTCTGAATGCAGGGAACTTGCCAAAGATTTTGTCGTTTCTGGTACTGCCTCAGAGTCACTCTACGGTGCCTGTGAATCAATGTTCAAGCCAGACATGGTTAGTGATTTGCACTCTGTTTCTCATATATCTTAAGTGAGACCATATAATATCCTATTATATCCCTTTCTCCACGGGGTCTCAGTATTCCAAATACTTGAAAAATAGTATGGCTAGTTATTAATAGGATATTTAGTGTATATTAAAATAATATTTAAAATAAAATAATTAAAGTTGATTGGATGTAGGAGAGAGATGATGTGAAATGATGGTTAGTTAAAATTATGTTAGTGGATGAATAGTGAATTAAAGTTGATGTGATGTGTAAGAGTGATTGGTTTATATTAAATATATATTAATAATATTAAGGATAGTGGGTTGAGTAAAAGTTGAATTAGATTTTGAGTAAGGATTGAATGTGAATGAGATATTTAATAAACAAGCATGCCCTTACTTTTTTTTCTTTTCCTTATATCTTCTTGATTATCAAGCATTTTCTCATCCATGTGATGATTTTGATACGATGAGGTTGTTAACTGTGTCCTAGCTGTGTTCTGGTTCTTCTATTCCATCTCTTTATATAAAACACTCGAATCGTATTGAATAAAAACCTTGTTTGGGAGTCGATAAATTACACGTCCTTTGGTTGAACCATAACAACTTCCTTCAATTTTTACTTTATCTTTATCTCCCATCTTTATAAAGCATTATCTAACTGAACTCGGAACATGCCGTTGAGAAGCGATTCAGTAAATAAACCATCACGGATCCTTTTTTTTTTTTCTTCTTTCGTGAAGACCTAATTATGTTAGAATTATTATCCCATTTGTAAATACATGTAGGAACCCGAAGAATTATTCGAGACCATCTCACAAGCCCTGCTATCAGCAGTGGACNGTAACCGAAAGAATTCTGAAGGGAAGGATGGACTGATTTAGTTTCATTCATGAAAAAATTGTGCTGTGTGACTTTTTTATGATTTCATGGACCAAATGTTGTGTTATTTTAGTTACGCTTTGAACTTTTCAAAGGAAATGTGAGACTTTTCAAATCAGTTTGTTGTGGTGCTGCGGTTATGTTAGTTTTTCAGAAACTTAAAAACGCAACTGATGGTATCGTAATAATGGTATTGGTTAAAATATAATCATTTTCTCTACTTACTGTTCATTGTGTGGTCTTAAAATGCCAATCACCTCACATACCAAAATTAAAACATTTTCTCGAACATATATATATGTATAGTTCCATATAAAAGAAAAATGACGTTTCACAACATAAAGAGGGAATTTTTTTACCAAAAAAATAACTTAAGCTGCCTTATCTTCAAAAACAACATAAATAAAAATATAACTGACATAAATCGACAATTTTGATACAAAAGTATGCCGAATTCACCCGTTTGGTTAGGCAGTCTCAGATAATAATTTGTGAAAGTTGAATGAGAATCTGTGAAATTAGAAAAGTTCTCTTATTATATTAGTATAGATAGATATGCTTTTTATTTATTTATTTATTCTAAAAATACAAAATAACCGACTCATTAGTAAATTAGTCACTCGAATAAACTGATGGGGAAACCGAAAAGAAGTACAAACAAAGAGGATCGCAGGTAATCTACATTTCATTTTGTAACTGGAAAGAACAACTGGTAATCTCCATTCCTTCGTTCAAATTCAGGTTCCCATTTTTTTTTTCCCACAGAAAAAAGTAGTGATTTTTCAAATTCAGTTACTTTTTATGTGTTT